GTTGACGGTTACGTGCAATAAAATCTAATTCGTAAAATTAAAATTCTGTTTGTCTGTCTATCCGGAACAGTTGGAGACAAAGCGCTTAAAAAATATGTAGAGGAAGCACAGTTGACATTTCACTTGAAACCTGGTGTCCGATAGCCAAAGTAATAAATAAACAAATAATTCAAACACTGCGAAGTGGACATCACTTGTCAAATTTGACAACGAGATATTGCCGTATATAGAAGTTACCGGTGAAAAAATGTTGTTCCTTATGTCTTGTCTACATATTTCTTAAATGTCTTTGGTTGGAGGCGATATTATAACTTGACGGGAAGCTAACTGTTGTGTGCGGGAGTATTGTACACGTATTTTTGACCGATTACCCAAAAGAAGGAGATACTCAAATCGTCTGTATGTTTGTTTTTTTATTTATTTAAAAATCCAACTCCGCGCTGACAAATTCGCGATGCACCATTACTTTTGAATATATAATTTTTACATTACTATTCATCGTGTTACTTGTTCCAAATAAAATAAACTTACAGTCAATATCAGTCACGATATTTATGTTTGAAATAAAGCATTTTTTTTTTTCATCCTTACTCATCAATATTGAAATGCAGATCATTCCAGTGTTTCTTAAATGTTCTTCTTTAAAACATTGATTTATAAAAAATGGTATATTCGTTGAATATAATACCTGTTTACATAATTCCAGTCCAGTGATCAAAATCAGCCCTACATCGGAATCTTACATTTAACACTTCAAACAACAAAACGAATTGAATAGCGGCTCTTTAATATCAGTTATGGGTTATTATTATTCTGAGATCAATAAGAAAGTAATTCAGTTCGAAAATTAATATTTATTTATTGTGTTCGTTAATGTAAGGAGAAAGATCCTAATAAAGAAAAAAAAATATCTTAGATATAAAAATATATTCTGGAAGGGTAGTTATTTAATTCCCTTTTTTAATTTTGTGCGGGCAAAGTCACGGGAAAATAGTTAGCCAGTAAAGTAAATTAAGTGTCATTTACTCGCCGAAATATGTCTGCTCTAATATTTAGATTGAACATTTTGTTTCTATTAATATCCATTAAATAATTATTAAGCATTAAACAAAACAATACTTTAACTTACTAACCTATCTACTACAACCTAAAAATATAATATAATATGTATTAAAAAATATGTATAACCTTAAAAATTTGAAGTAAGATTTTGCATTGTCGTATAACTTGCGACCCACGAATTTATTTCGCACAATAAAAAATTTGCACGCCTCTATTAAAGCGCCTTCGATCGAGCAGCTGTTGCCAGTCTCTCCACAGAGGACAATCAATTGGAAAAAACATTCAGATTTGCAAGGAATCTTTTTGAAGTTGGTTAAATATTATCAAAATATGTTACTAAGTAGGTGTTTTGTTCGTGGTTTTAGAATTTGGTATGTATCTCTTTTAAAATATAATGAAATGATATAATGTTTTAAACCAAAATAAAATGTATTTATTGTGTAAAATAACTCTAGTCATATAATATAATATTATAAATGCGAAAGTTACGATGGATGGATGTTTGTTAGTTTTTATAGCCTAAACGGCTTTACGGATCTCCATAAAATTTGGCACAGGTTTAGAGCATAGTCTGAAAGAATACATAGGCTACTTTTATCCAGAGAATAGTTACGGTTCCCGAGGGGTTTATTAATTTATTCTTCGAGTGTTGAGTCGATCGTTTTGCAGCGTTTCAACATATCTTATTGAAATTTGACACAGATATAGAGCAAAGTCTGAAGTACGCATGGGATAAGGTTCATCTCCGAGAAATGTCCGGTTCCCGAGGGATACGCAGCTTTTTGTTATTTAAATAGTTCGTATGTTTTCTAATATCTAGGTGACGAAGTCGCGGGCAACAGCTAGTTGATAATAAAGACTACAACTGACTATGATCTTTATGCCTAGTTCGCACTAGGCTAGAATTTAAGTCGAGTATCAAGTTATTTATTAGTTAAAATTCTCTCATCTAGTTATAATATGATTTTCTAATTTATTCCACAGATGTTTTGTTGTTCAGATACGTTTTTAAATACAAAATTACTCGCTACTCGAATCAATTACTAGCCCAGTGTGAATTATGCATTATTATATTTATGAATATATTTTTTATTTGTTAAAATCGGACACCATACTGTGCGCTTAAACGATAGCTATTGAGATCCTCTAACTCCACAAAGTCGTTGATCCATCACCCTGTATAATCCAGGAAAGAAGGATGAAAAGGCAAGGATTTATAGACATCTGGATTTTCTCATTCTTTATTAACCAACAAATCCTATTTTACGATTTCTGAAACGACTATTTGTTGTTTTTTCAGTATTGTCGATTGCTGCACATACCTATATTTTACTTTATAATTCTTTCTTATACGTTGACGTATTTTCCTATTTTTTTTAAATCAGGCACAGTGCAGCAGTTCAACAAAAGCAAACTTCAAAAGCCGATTGGTTGGAGCGGACACAACGATTTAATAATACCGTTCAAAAAATCGTATCTGATGTGATAGCCAACGGTGAAGTTGGTAAAACACCATCTCTAGCCAAACGATTAACTAAGGTAAAAGTTAATAATTCAACAAATTATTACAAAGCAATATTTATAACAGAAAAACAGTACTTTCTAATGTTTCCAATTGGTTGTTAATAATTACACTGCGGAGGACGAATCATCATCATCATCACCAGCTCACTATATGTCCCCACCGAGGGACTCAAAGCCTACCCTACCTAAGTAAGGGTGTGACTAGGACATAGTCAACCGTGCTGGCCCACTGTGGGTTGGTTTTTTTTTATTTGCACCACCTGTGGTCTTCTTGCTTAGCAAGAAATTTTATTAGACTAAATTTGCCGACTTGTTCTTTTTTTATAATTCTTATCCTGCGGCATTCATTGATTATATAGTTCTATTTCCATATAGTTGTCTTTTACTTCTTTTTTATTACATTACATTACATATTACATTAATTTTCGTATATGTCAATTTGTTTCTCTATTTTTTTGTGTTACATTACATGACATATTGCATTAATTTTCGTATATCGGCGTAGATCGTCCCGGCTAATAGTGCAACCAATTTATCCGGACTCTGCACAGCTCCATCCTCCACTAGTAGTTCCACTGCGATGCCCTTAGCAGTAGCTTATGGACGAGCGCGCTATAGAGTCCCACTTTTGCCGTATGGGACAGTCAGAATGCTATGTGCCCCTTTTCCTTTTGCCCGGCTCGGTTACAGTGCCAGCAGACGGGTACCTTTTCATCCAAACGGGAGGGGCACTTCGCACAGTCGTGCTCCCCTCCGCAGTGGCTATAGAGGTCCACCGTCTCTTCACAGTACTTTCGGCCGTGGCCGAATTCCAGGCAGCGGGTGCACTGACCCTGGATATCGATGAAGATAGTCCCCGCCTCGATTAGCTTT